GGGGACGCCTTTGTCGCTCACTCTTGTAAACCTCGTTTCACGAGGCATAAGGGAGCGGTCGACAAAGGCTTCCCCTGTTGACCGATCCCTGTCTTGACTGCCGCGCTGTGCCGACAATCAGCTGAGTCGGCACAGGGCGGCGGCCATTTTATTTTAATGAAGCCGGGGATATTTAAATCCTGGCTCCATTGACTATGTCGGGTAGCCTATTTTACAGGCCTCTGCCGACAGAGGCATGTAGTCTAGACATACCCTCTGAGACCGCACGTGGGAGGCAGGATTGCAGACCCTCGCCAGATACAACCTGCCTGGCTTTTCATTCTCAGTAGTGTTTGGGTGTCTCGGAGCCTGTTCCCACTCGCACAGCCTGCCTCCTCTCTGTTCGGCACCGCAGGGGTGTGTAAGAAGAGAGGGTGAGGGCCCATTGATTAGATAAGCCAGGAGAGGCTTGTAGAGAGGACATATGAAGGGCTTCTTAGATAAACATCAGGTTTTTTAGTCTGAGGGGTCACCAGATAACAACAACGAGGAGTCCTGTGGCACCTTAGAGACTGACAATCTAGAGAGCTTCAGGGGGTAGCCAAGTTAGTCTGTTACAGAAAAAACCAACAAAAGGTCTGGTAGCACTTTATAGACGAACAAAACATGTTGATGGGATCATGAGCTTTCGTGGGCACAGCCCACTTCTTCAGACGACTGGAGTTATGAGTAGGGGATATGAAAACTCAAAATGGAAAGTAGAGGGGGGAGAAAAAGAAAGAAAGAAGGGCAGGTGTGAGACAGAGAATCAAGAGCTTTTATGGGCAAAACCCACTTCCTCAGAGGAGTTTTGTCGGGTGTTTCGAATGTACTGAAATTTTAAGCCAGAGGCTTCCCCAATTTCTTTGGGAAAACTCAGAGCCTGAGGTTTCCTCAGGTTTTGAGCCATGACAAGCTCAGAACCCGCTGGCCTGGGCTGCTGGCCAGGAGGACGCCAGGCCTGCAATTGGATCTAGGGGTCATAGTGGATCACAAGCTAAATAGGAGCCAACAGCATAACACTGCTGGAAAAAAATGAAATGTGATTCCGGGAGGCATTCACAGGAGTGTTGTGAGCAAGACACGAGGAGTCGTTCTTCCGCTCCACTCTGCGCTGCTGAGGCCTCAGCTGGAGTCTTGTGTCCCGTTCTGGGCACCGCATGTCAGGAAAGATGCTGTTAGAGTTGCCAATTAGGGAAACGTGGTCCCGAGTCTGATCACGCCGGAACCGACGCAGGTGCTGTATTCGGAGTTTGTTTTTCATCCGATGTGTGTGAGAGACCTGGTAGAACGGCCCCTAAGGACTCGGGGAGCCTGTTTGTTGTTGGCTCGTCTAAATCCAGGGACAGTCTGTGGGAGTCCTGGTTCTTGTCCAGTTCCATGATGTGTCTTTGATAAGGGTTTCTCTTTACCCCTTCCATCAGCCTCCCGCCTCCCCCCCACGGTTCTCACTCTGCATCAGCCAGGCCCCAGCCATGTGAAAACCTGGACTGGATTCATCCTGCTGTGGCTTCTGGAATGACCCCGGGCGAGGCTCTTCCCTGATACTGCGTTTATCTGTTCAGCCAATTAGGCCAGCAAGCTGGGAGAGACTTCCTCTGCGTCAGTGGGTCTTAGCCCCGCTTTCCTGGGCGCCTCCTGTGTCTCTGCAGTCTGGCTCTTCCCGCCCTCCGCGGGGGGTGTAGTGAGCCTCGCATGTCGGAGGAGGCTAAATTCTGCTGTCACCCCAGCAGCCGGAGTTGGAGAGGCCCTGGCCCAGGGTGTGTTAAACCAGGCCAGGGCAAGGAGAGGCCTGAGGAGACGGATTCTGCCTGGGAACGCCCCGTCTGCAGTAGGCACAGAGGAGAAGGGTTTCTAGCCTGATTCCTCCCCCCGTCCCTGCCCCGAGATTCTGAGCTGCCCCAGTGCCAAAGGAAGCCCCTGAGATGTGGGCGTTTGAAAACCAGGCCAGGTATTTCAGTTGGAAGGAAGGGAAGTCCCTTGCACTCGCCACGAGGGGTATTTCTACGGGAGGCTGCCCCGATTCCTGGCCGGGCTGAGCTAGCAGGGCCCCCCTCTGCCCTGTCTGTTCCGCTCTTGGGAGGAGGCGGGGGGCCGTCTGCGTAACTCCCCTTCGCATTAATTTAATCCAATTACAGTTTGGATTTGAAGACACTGAAAGGTCACAGGTAAGCAGGATCTTTCTGGCTGCTTCCGTTCTCCGTGAAGCACAGGACACAAGCAGTATTTTTGCCCCCCCTCCGGAAGGCGGATGAACCCTTCGCAGACACGGAGGCTGGTCTTGGGTCACACAGGTGCAACTTTCACTGACTTCGGCAGAAGTTGCCTGGGCGGCCCTGAGAAGCCAATCTCTTGCAGATTTCCTTGGAGCAATTGGCTAGTCTCTGTATTTCACCAGGTTCGCAAATGGAGGGGCAGGACCCCCAAGAGGGCAGGGACCCCATTTGAACTGCACTTGCTGGGACCCAGGGCCGAAGGGCGAAAGCCCTGAGTGGCAGCGCTCAGGTTTCGGCTTTGGCCCTTTTACCAGCTTGATCTTTGGCTTTGGCCCTCCTGCCCAGGGTGGTAGGGCTAGGCCGGGCTCAGGCGCTGGTCCCCGCCCCCTAGCGTCATGGGGTACTTTGAGTTGTTAGAAGGAGCTGGTGGTGCATGACGTTTGCCAACTGCTGGGCCCGAGAGACGTGTCATTAAATGTCCAGCAGCGGACGGGTGTTGAACCCGCGCCACAATGTCTCCCACTTGCTAATGCTCATTAAATAGCGTTTTTCAAGTCTTTGCTATTTCATGCCGAAGGGGGACAGACGGGACCAAGGGAAACGAACGGGACAGGTCTCCCCTGAAGCCCAGAAGGGATACCCGCCCCAGCGAGGGATCACATGCAGGACAGAAATACTATTTTAATGAATGGTCTTCAACAGGGGTGGGCAATAATTTTTGCTCAGGTGCCAATTCAAAAATTTTTGAAGTAGCCCCGGGCTGCCCTGGAAGGGGCGGGGCCTAAACAGGAAGGGGCGGGGCTACCCCACCCCCAGACTATGATTGGGCGGGGGAGGGGGCAAAGCTGCTTCTGT